GGCACGCAGTGCACTATATAGGGGAGAGGGAACGATTAAAAAATATGCTTGTGTAAATATGCTTTCCATTGAGGAAAAAAAGAAGTCTGGTTTAGCGCTGTGTCACGCTAACCACCGCACCGCACACAAACTCTGCTCTGGTCCAGAGACACGATAGCACAGAGCGGATCACAAAATGTATCAGAGCTATTTGAATTCTACACAGAATGCTATATTTTATAGCAATATGGATGAGATTGTGGCTGGCATACCCTGTCAAATGCGGCTTTATGGAGCTCAGCTCACAGCTCTAGCCCAAGCTGTGATATAAACTAACGCTATTGGCTATTTTAAAAAGGGGCGGGGCTGCTTGATATGTCCCGCCCTGTCTTCCTGTTTCAGTTCCAATGAGTCAACACATAGAGTAAAGCCCCGTTCACACCAAGAACGATAACTATAAAGATAACGATATTAGCGTCCACACCATCGAACGATATCGTCTGTTCATTCTAAGTGCACATGCGTCTGCCGCTTTAAATTCTTGAGCTCGTTACAGCAGGATGGATTCTGATTGGCTGTCAGTGTTTTATCGTTCATCAGCTGGAAAAAAATCGTTTTGAAAGTGATCACAACGATATCATTCCTCTGTATTGTTATCGTTATAGTTGTGGTGTGAACTATGCTATTTACCTTTAAAAAAATGGTAAACAATTTCAAATTTGATATTAAATTTCATTAATAATAAAAATGTACTTTTTTATGGATTTATTCCCCAACGCCTTACATATGTGGTGTTCTTCTAAGTCAAAAATGTCTGGCCTACAAAAATTGCTTATAAATTTCTATAAATAAAATTATGCTATTTTACCAAATTTTGGATTCAATCTTTTTATTTACCAAATTTTGGATTCAAACTTGTTTTCTTTCAGTTAGCACATGTTTTGTATTTCTTTGATTGATCATCATAGGCCTCATTTATCTGAGCTTATGCCATTTCTATAAATAAAATTATGCTATTTTACCAAATTTTGGATTCAATCTTTTTATTAACTTGTTTTCTTTCAGTTAGCACGTTTTGTATTTCTTTGATTGATCATCATAGGCCTCATTTATCTGAGCTTATGCACCTCAGTTTTTGTGTAAACATTGCCAAAAGTATGCTCAAATGTTTTTTTTTGTTTGTTTGTTTTTCACTTAAAACCTGAAGGGCTTAAGCTCAGACCAGTGAGGCCTACAGTCAATCACTTCCAAAAAATACAGAAATACAAAACTTGTGTTAATTGAAAGAAAACAAGTTGACAAAAAGATACAAGCAATTTAAAACAAAAACAGGAACACCAAATTAGGTAAAGGATTTTCAAGGGATTTTCAAAGTCCTAACTGAGGAGCAGAGAAGTCGTACAACCAAGCATCTCAGATCTTATTTATGTTATTTGTGTTTATGTCAGATTCAAAAAAGGTGCATTGGTACATCAAAATAGTCATCAATACCTAACGGCATGGGTTTCTCTGTGTTGTAGCTGACTGAAAATAGTCATATGGACTGTTTTGTGGTGTTATTTTTTTGTCCTTTTTCAAGCATGATATCCCCCAATCCCCCAGTTTGGGGTGAACTATTGCTTTAAAAATCAGTTAAGTAAACATATTAATTGATCAAAACATGCAGATACTAACTGCTCAGACAAACACAGCATATAGTGGCAGATGTTGTCAACACGATAGGAAATTTGCCTAAAGGCCACGAGGACTGAGTGTTGTATCTCATCTCAACTCGTTCCCTTTCTGTTAACAGTTCAATGGCATGTCATATCTGCAACAATTACCCTGTCCTTACAGTACCGAACAACTCGATAGAATATGACTGTGATCTAATGTAGTAGATCCATCAGTGCTGGTGTAATGACAGTGGAGTTAACACAGAGATCAGGAATCAATGTGCAGCTCTGCAAAGGGCATATAGAGTTTGTTAGTGATGTACAGGCGTGTACACAATCTGTGCATGCAAAACTCAAATGACTGTCATTTATGAAGTTATAAACATTCTCTGCCAAAAAACATTCTCTGAATCCAAAAGTCTTAGAACAAACTTAAAATCTGGGATTTAAAACCTGATTTAAACCTTGAAATAAAAAGTTGTAAGAATATTAAAATAAATAACAAAATTAATATTTATTGAATAACTTTTTAGATAATTTATTATAAAAAAAATAAATAAAATAAAAATAATAATATA